AAAAAAAAAAGAAGATGAGTAGTAGACACTTAAATGAAAAGCAGCTAAAAATGTACCATTTGGGTATGTTTAAACCAAAACTGGAAAATTGTCACACTATTGCATTCTATCAGTAACAAGTGAGCCATTCATGAAAAGTGAATTTTTATAGGATCATAATAAGTGTTTACTTAGACCATTAACTAAATGGTATGATTTTGTATTCAGTGAAGTGGAACACCGTGGTGTTGTACTGGGAATGGCCCAGTTAGAAGACAAGCCTGCTATGCATCCTCATGCTTACATCACTGAGGTGGAAAGTGATTCTGATGTCAATGGTGAATTGAAAGATGCTCAGTACGATGACCAAGTGATGGTTTATCCTAAGTGGCATGAGACCTGTAAGTACCTAGTAAAAGCAATAAAAAATTGTGGGCATCACTTTGGCTGTGTCTTTTAAGGGAGGCGTCATGGTTTGTGGGCTCATCTCCGGATCTACTGGTCCGGGCTAGAGCACTGGCCAGGGACATTGTGTTGTGTTCTTGAGCAAGACACTTAACTCTCACATTGCCTCTCTCCACCCAGGTGTATAAATGGGTATAGGCGATCCTAATGCTGGGAGTAACCCTGCTATGGACTGGCATCCCATCCAGGGGGGGAGTAGAAATACTCCTAGTCACTTCATGCGACAGAAATCGGGATAAGCTCTGGCCTGATGGGCCACATGGGTTGTATTCAGACTTAACCACAACAGACTCTTCACTTGCTCCTGGAGAGACCAAATACATTATTTTGTACCCTGAGTACACCTACAGTGCAAATACCTGGGACTAGTACTAATAAAACTATCAGCTATTTTAACTCTCAATTTGTTCTTTGTTGCAGCCGACAACCTTGTCCCAAAACCAACACTGATGGATGCAGTGGCCCTCACACGCACTGGTTACCCAAAGTCCACTGCAGGTGATGTAACTGGTCTAGAAAATGATGTATTCACCACTACAGCTGAACAATGGGGTCAAGCTAGTACTAGCACCTCGTGGAGTTCAACCAACAGGTACAACATTGCCAGGTCAAGCAGTGTTCCAGGTGATGGAGGGTCTACAAGCACCCTTGAAGATGAGTTTGATGACTGGGCAAAACTGATCACTACTGAACTGACAGAATTAGATCGAGACATTGTTAAGTTTGTGGCAACTGGAGGTGAGATTTCTCAGCTGCCTGATGCAAGCCTTGAAGTTCTTCTGAATGGTGACAGCCTCGATGGATTACAAACAAATGAAGCCATCCAAAATCTAGTTACGCCCAAAATTGAAGAGATTCCCATGGACAGTGAAGAGAATGGCATCTCCTCTGTAAATCTTGTCAATATACAGAATATGCCTCCCCCAAGAGTGCCCTCTGGAGGTTATGGAAACCTGCCTACGGATAACTTTGCTGGTGACACAAAGCCAAACTTAATTTCCATAAATCAAGAAGGTGACTTGCTTGAGACAGGTCTTGGCATTACGGGTTCAAAGATACGCAGGATCAACAGTCCTTGCATGTTTGGCAGTGGAAATTCCACCAGTGAGAGAAATTACCAACAGAAAGCACCTACCCTGAGTCATTTAAACAGCGGTGGTCCTTCAAATGCTGTCATGATGAACATATCTCAACAGACTCAGAATCATCCCACTGGTAGAGATTCCAATGGTATGAATTTTGAAAGGATACCACAAATGCAGCAGGCTGATATGACGTCTACAGGTGGTGGCAACTTTAGAGTTCCAGCGCCTGTTTCACAAATGCAAAAGCAAAAGGATGCTGTGCACTCACAATTCTTTCCAATTTTGAAGGAAGCATTTCCCAACGTCTCCGATGATACAGTGGCTGACTTGATCGATGATATGATCCAAGATTCAGATAGGAGACAAGCTGAGGCCATGAGGATGGCAACACTTCTGCAACAAGCAGGTTTTGCCCAACTAGAGGAAGTTCCTGAAATTGAAATCAAACAGGAGGTGGTGACACCAACTCTACCCCAACCAACTAGTTCATTCCCTAGTTTCTCTGACAGTGTGGCAACTCAGAGTAGTCAACCTCAAGTTATAAGTGGTTCCGCATCTTCCTTCAGCTCTACAGATACCTTCAACCAGCTTCCAGGAAACCATGTCACATTTGTGGCTCCACCTAGAAGACCACAGAATGGGACAGTTCACAGTCAGAACCCTCCTATGAGGTTCCAAAATGGTAATTCTCAGTTTGAGAGTCAAGGGGACAGCAATATGAACTTTTTGCATTCTTTTTCAACTACAGAAACAAGTCCACAGGCAGGGGTTCCCATACAAGGTGACAATCTGTGGAACCCTGACCCACCTTTAAAGCAGAGCGTCATGGACCAAGGAATAAGGAACTTGCTGCAAAGCACAGGCAACCCATTGCCGAATCAGACCACCAACTTAAATTCTCAAGTGAACTCTGGCTTGCTCCCACAGCAGTCAAACATGCAGTTTGTGCCACAAAGCTTGAGTAACATGCTGCCTCAGAACGGTTCCAGAAACAGTCAAAGTAATATGTTTAACATGACAGTAGTTCCAAATGTAGACCAGCTGAATCTTCAGGAACCAAGCCACGTGAATTCCCTTCTCCAGTCAGGAGCTCCCCTACAAGCTTTGAGCTTTCAGAACCTCAATGGTGCAAGCATGTCAATCGCCAATCAGCACTACCCCAAGTTTGATGTGAGCAGGAAACTCTGACAGGTGAATGGCTCTGTTGTCCAAAGCCAATTTCGAACAAGGTGGTATCTTAACTAGGCACTCTGCATATTCTTTCAACTGTAAACTAGTTAAACTGCTTTCCTAGTAAAGAGCATCAGTCCAACGTATCATATTACTTGCGTAATAATTGTTGCACTTGAGACTATTGTACAAACATTCATGCATAAGTAAGATTCCTTTTCATGTACATTGTGTGGGCTCAATGTATTATTTTTAAAATGTATATAAATTAAAGTTAGTAAATGGTTTCATTAGCAACTAGAAATTATCAAAATATAATCTTGAACGTTGACTTTTAATTTTTTCACAAGTATCTTGTAGAAATAGAATGTTCTCTTTTACCTTTGTACATAAAGTTTGTTACAATAATTATTTGCAGTTAGTTGCTCAAATATGACACAAAATCTTGTAGACAGAAAATACAACTCATTTAACAACGTTAGTTATACCCTAATACCTCACCTTGTATGGTTTGGTGGACTACGGGAAATGTTTATATATTCTGCCATGTTTGTTTGTTTGCTTGTTTGTTTGGTTTGGCTTTTGAATATTTGTAATATTTTGTTCCATTACCACTCTCCTCTGGAGTTACATATTAGCAAAACTGGAAGTGTTTAGATGCCTGATTTTCAAATCCTGGTGTCAAGATGCCTCCTGAACATTTTTGTAGATCTATTCC